ATATCTAGAAACGATTTCCATAAAACGTGATTTTATGAGTCAGATGGATGGTCATTCTTAGATAGTGCAGTCAGCTCGAGAATCACATTTATTTTGGGGTGACAGCCATGGAGGAGATTCTCTGTGTTTAACATTATAGATTATTATTATTATATTTATTATATATTTTTATTATATTATATTATTATTTTATTATATTCTTATTATTATTATTATTTATTATATATTATTATTATTATTCTTATATTATTATGATTATTATTTTATTATTATTATTTTATATTTTATTTATTATTATTATTATATTATTACTGCTTCGTCTTATTATTATTCTTATTATTATTATTATTATTATTATTATTATTATTTGTTTATTTTCCACAGCCCTATCTATTCAACTGGTTCTGTCCATGTGGGCCGGTTTTGGTTGGTCATTTTCATTATGGTACTTCGAAGATGTTACCCACATCCTAACGAAGTCCATTACCTTATAGTGTCTTACGTAATATGGTTGCTGTACCATACAAAGCAATTTCCTGCACGTCTGCTGTCCTGTGCCTTCCTGGTATGAGATTTAGGTTTTCATGTAGATTGTCTGGGATCGTCCCTAATGCACCTAAAATTACGGGAACTATCTTCGTCCTCAGATTCCACATTCTTTGGATTTCAATTGAGAGATCTTTGTATTTCAATTTCTTTTCAGCTTCTTTGTTTACAACGTTTTCATCGTTGGGGACTGAAACATCTATTAGCAGGCAGGTTTTGTCACGTTGGTTTTTGACGATTATGTCTGGACGGTTCGCGGATATCTCACGATCTGTTTGCACTGGTAAGTCATATATTATGGTAATCTCATCTTTACTAACTACTGGAGTGGGATTGTGATTATACCATTTTTCTTCCACTGCGATCCCAAAGCTTATACAGATGGCATGATGCAAGTATATGCATATTTTATTATGTCGGACCAAGTACTCGTGCTTCGCCAGTTGAGGACAGCCGGATATAAGATGATCTATTGTTTCTGAGTATTGTTTGCACATTCGACATCTATCATTTGCTGTTATTTTGAGGATATGTTTCTCATAATGTCTTGTACGTAGGGCCTGGTCTTGGGCGGCCGTTATCAGGGCCTCTGTTTCACCTTTACCTTCCCTCTCGTGAGCCACGCAAACGTTTGGCATTCATTAATCCCTGGCCTCTTAATTCTCTTCACGTATTGACCATGAAGCTGCTTTCGTATCCATTTATCCTTCAAGGTCTTCCTTGTCATGGCCTTAATATCTGTAGATAGTAATTCTTCTTCATCCTCGACCGCTTGATTTTCTATTTCCGGTAAATGTGTCTTTACAATTTTTATCGCTGACTTCACTACTGACTTTCCAACTCGAGGGTGCCTTTCACATCTCCAAATTTGTCTAACTAACTTATCATTTCTACGGCTTCTTAAATAATTGGCTATGGATACAACTGTATTATCATAAGTCATCTCTAATTGCCTGAGTCCTCTACCTCCTTCTTTACGACTCACATATAGCCTGTCTACATCAGCTCTAGGATGCAGCTGTCCATGAATAGTAAGCATCTTCCTTGTTTTACGATCTAGGTCTGCAATTTCCTTCTGACTCCAATCTATGATTCCAAAACTGTATTCTACTATTGGAACAGCTATACTGTTGATGGCTAGCAGTTTATTTCGTGCTGTTAAGTCTGAACGTAGTACCATCCTAAGCCTTCTTAGATATTCTTTACTGATGGTCTCTTTCATTTCATCATTACACAATTCTGGGTTTTCATAAACTCCAAGATATTTATAGCTTTCTCCAGCATCTAGGTTTTTGATGGTAATATTTGCCTGGACTGTTATGTTTTCCGTTTTTTCCACTTTTCCGTTCTTTATTGTCGCTTTGGCGCACTTATCTAATCCGAAGTTCATATGAATTGTGCTACTGAAGTCGTGAACTATCTTAATTTGCTCTTCAAGCGCTGTGTCCGAACTCGCGTATAGCTTTAAATCATCCATGTACAGAAGATGTGTTGTTGGCTGCTCATCTTTGAGTAGTTTATATCCCAATTTTGGCTTTTGATTTAGCATTCTGGACAGGGGGTACATCATCATGCAGAACAGGAGAGGTGATAGTGAATCTCCTTGGAATATTCCAGATTCGATTTTAATCTGCGGGGTATTATTGATAGGTGCATCCTTAGATTGTATCTTTAGCTGGGTGTTCCATTCCTTCATACTTTTTTCACACAGATTGATGATGTTTGGGTCAATTTTGAATATTTTAAGTATTTTCAATATCCACTGGTGTGGTACGCTATCGTAAGCTTTTTGATAATCTATCCAGCATAATGATAGATTTTTCTTTTTACTGTGTACGTCCTTCATTATCTTTTTGTTATATAATAGTAGATCTTTACATCCGTATGAACCTTTGCAGCATCCTCGTTGCTCAGCTGGAATCAACTGTTGAGCTATTAGGTGGTCATATATACGAGATGACATTATCCCAGTTAGTAATTTGTACAGTACGGATAAACAAGTAATGGGTCTGTAATTTTCTGGCTTAGAAGGGTCTCCTTTCTTGTAAATAAGATACGTGATGCCACTATTCATCCACGTGGGCAGATCTTCTTCTCCTTTTAGTATTTTTGTTAAGATTACCGCTAATGTTTTATGGGTGGCACTATCTTCTTATTATTATTATTATTATTATTATTATTATTATTATTATTATTATTATTATTATTATTATTATTATTATTATTATTATTATTATTATTATTATTATTATTATTATTATTATTATTATTATTATTATTATTATTATTATTATTATTATTATTATTATTATTATTATTATTATTATTATTATTATTATTATTATTATTATTATTATTATTATTATTATTATTATTATTATTATTATTATTATTATTATTATTATTATTATTATTCCGTTTTCTGTTAGCTATTCTCTGCTACTGCAGGTGGTATCCTCAAACGCGGCATTATACTGCAAGCGTCTGAGTGTGACTATTGGTTTCTCTTTGTCTATGTGGCTACATTCAGGACCTTGCGTGCTATATGACAACTACCTAAGATAGCAGCTTTCTGAAGTGAGAGGTATAGTTTCTGCGGCAGATTTAGTTTCTCAATATATTTATGTAGACTCTTAGGTATTTCTCCTGTGGCTCCGATCACTATTGGGATGACTTCAACTTTTTCTTGATTCCACAGTGTTTTTACTTCTGCAGCTAATGGTAAGTACTTGCGAACCTTTTCTGTCTGCTTGTCAGCTATGTTATGTGGGGCAGGCACACTAATGTCAATTATGCAGGTAACTTGCTTCATTTTATCTTGAACTACGATATCTGGTTTGTTGTATTCCATGGTGTGATCTGTTTGAATTGTTCTATTCCAGTATATTTTATGGCTGTTAGTTTCTATAACTGGAGTCGGCTGGTACTTGTAATATGGGGTGCGGTCAGTTAGTATATTCGCAGCATAACAAATTTCTTGGTGAACTATTTTAGCCACGTTGTCGTGGCGCTTCAGATACTCAGTGGAAGCTAGGGGAGTGCAGCTCGTCAGGATATGCTCTATTGTTTCCGACTTGTTATGGCATATGCGACATCTATCTTCAATGCCTTCTTCTTTCATGATGTATTTTCTATAGTTTAAGGTTGGTATCACCTGATCTTGAATGCCAATCATGAAACCTTCAGTTTCCGAAAATAGCTCCCCACTCTTCAGCCATCCATGTGACGCGATGGAGGAGGATGAGGAGTAGCGGGAGGAGAGAGGAGGAGAGGATGATTGGTAGGAGGAGGCGGACGCGAGTAGATGATTATGAGGATTATTATGGGAGTGATGAGGTTAGGAGTATGAGTAGGATGATATAGGATTATTATTTAGGAGTAGATTCTTATTATTAGTATGTATTATATTTTATTATTATATTATTATATTATTATTATTATTATTATTCTTATTATTTTATTATTATTATTATATATTATTAGTATATATATTATTATTATTAATATTATTATTATTATTATTATTATTATATTTATTATTATTATTATTATTATTATTATATTATTATTATTATTTTATTATTATTATTCTTAGTATTCTTATTATTATTATATATATTATTATTTATTATTATATTTTATTATTATTCTTATTATTATTATTATTATTATTATTATTATATTATTATTATTATTCTTATTATTATTATTATTATTATATTATTATTATTATTATTATTATTATTATTATTATTATATTATTATTATTATTATTATATTATTACTATCTGGAAGTTTATCATTACGGTGTAAGTCAATAGAACAGGGTGCATTGTTCTTTCCAGAAGCTTGTCCATCATCAGTGTAACGTAACTGAAATACAGTTTAAGTATGTGCAGAACTTGTCATAAACATTAATAATATAGTTGAACTTTTGTAGATCAAGAAATCACAACAAAATACGGATCTGTCTACCTGGCGTTGACGGATCTTGAAATAACACTAGATAATCAGCAGATGTTCTACCGTCATGTACACTCGTGAAAAATACCGTAAGTGTCTTGTGATCTCAAACTCAGTTTTTCAAAAGGTCGTCTATAATTTGATATGAGTAAAAATGCCAGTGAACGTTTTTAAACCATTCAGAGAAATAGTTCACCTTCAGTTATATCAGTCGTTCCAGCTGAATTGATTATTAAGGCAACAGACGTAATCAGCAATTCGAAAAGTGATTAGTAATAATCTTTATTCACCGAAACAAATAAGTAACGTTTAGTTTTTTTGAATTAATTTCAGAATCATTGAAATTTCTTGTACCGCCGCTTTGACAAATAAATAAAAATATTATAAAAAGTTATTGAAGTAACCGCGTTATCGTTTTGATTTGTGGTCAATTATTTGGAAACTTTTTAGCAGTAAAGTAAATAACAAAGAAATAGTTGTTGCATAAATGAATGTTCAACAGAAAAATCACGAATATTTCAGACGGTGAGCAAACCTATAATGGAAACTAGTCTATGTAAACTCAGTTTGAAGTGAGACGTGTTTTTTTATGTAAAATGTACACATGTTAACTTGAGTTCGAAATTAAACTAATTATCTCTCAAAACACTACCGTAATTTCACACAAAAATAGTCCTGCCCCACAACTATGGTCTCAAAGCAGTATATTTTTAAAACATTTGTAAATCATATTATGGCGACACCTATTATTAAGTAAAGAGACTTCATTTCGCTTTGATGCTTAGTATGATATACATCAAGTACAAGGTGTTTGTTTACCTGCAAACTTTCGATGCTGCAGGTGGTAAGCACTTCGATTTTTTAATTATTTTAGTTTAATAATATGGGGTTGTCCAAAATGGACGCAGGAAAGTAAACGCATATTAAAACAAGAAAGATTGATATTCAAATCAAGTTGGGTACTTTATTTTGAAGGTTCATTTATACCATTTATGTATGAAAAATAATATCGCTCAAATGTTCACCACGACTGGATTTACAGACGTCCACGCGATGGTCGAAATTTTCAATGACATTTTGCAACATGGTCGGTTTTATGGCATTTATCGCGGCAATGATGTTGTTTTTGAGTTCTTGGAGGGTGGCTGGTTTGTTGACGTAGACTTTGCTTTTCAAATATCCCATAAAAAGAAGTCCAAGGGAGTCAAATCGCACGATCTTGGTGGCCATGGCACATTTCCTCTGGGCGGAATCACGCGATCACCGAAGAAGGACTGCAATCGATGGATATTGACGTTGGTTGTGTGGCATGTTGCACCGTCTTGTTGGAAAAAAATAGTCCTCTATCATCACGTGATATCGCTCAGAATTCACGGTAACGGCATCCCCGGCCGCATTTTCGAAAAAGTAAGGTCCGGTGATGCCTTTTGACCACAATGCACACCACACAGTCACTTTTTGAGGATGCATCGGCTGCTCTTGATACTCACGGGGATTTTCGTTCGCCCAGATGCGGCAGTTTTGCTGGTTTACCGTCCCATTCAAAGTGAAATGCGCTTCGCCGCTGAACATGATTTTTGATGAAAAATTGGCATCAATTTGACGGTGTTCAAGGAGCCAATCTGAGAACGTTCGGCGCGAAAAATGGTCGGCCCGACGCAGCTCTAGCGTCAGTTGGATCTTGTAGGCGTGTACATTCAAATCCTTGTGGAGAATGCGGAGCAAAGTGCTTCTCGAAATGCCCAATTCTTGGGATCGACGCGTTGTTGATTGTTTCGGATCGTCTCTCACACTCTCCTTCACAACAGCAATATTTTCCGGTGTGCGAACGCTCCTTGGCCGGCCAGAGCCTGGCAGATTTGCCACAGAACCTCTTGCCTCGAAATTACGCACCAGACGACCGATGGTTGTTTCGTTTGGGCGGTTGTTGCGACCGAAATGTTCATGAAGCGCGCGAAACGTGTTTTTTATTTTTGCACCATTTTTGTAGTGCTCTTGAATAACTTTAATGCGGTCTTCAATCAAATACAACTCCATAGCGATCAATGGTAAACATTCAACTAACAAAATGGCATGTCGGTGACAGAAAACAAAGATGGCGTCTATGTCAAATTGACGTTTACTTTCCTGCGTCCCTATTTATAAGTACTATCTCGATATCCTCGTCAGTCCTGAGAAGCACATGCGTGGACAATCTCCGGCTTTTATGTACGTACGCGTTATTGGGGATCCAAAAATCAGTTTTATTTATTTAGTTTTCAAAATAACATCTAGATAAATCTCAAACAGTTGGTGCAGATATGTGCCAACTAGGACGTAAGTATTATATGGAGGCAATAAAAAAAGTACACAAATGGACTCACGAACCCAACAGTAAAAGTGCTACATATAAATAATCTAAGCAAACATTCATTTTCAATTTTGTTGAAAAAATTAACACACATTTTCAACAGGTTATACAAGTAAAATAAAATCCAAATAATTTTAATTATGAAATTCTTTGAAACAATTTCTTTCTTTGCTTACATATAGAAATATACTAAGTGACATATAAATCCGAACACCCAGTTTAAATGGTTTTATTTTAATAAAAGTTGGTGAATGTATTTATCTTACTGTAAATAACAAGTGAAAAAATTTTCAGCCTTATCAGTTGGACATTCCGGTTTTTATACTGCTTTTTTTTAATTCACTAACGCTCTAAAAATGAATGTTTCAGCCGCAGTAAAGAATCAACATTGGCGGATTTTGGTTCTTGACATCCTTTACGATCGGTTACGATGCCTAGAGCAAGGGGCACTGGACGCCGCCGTAAAACAACAGACCGTGAAGATCGCCGCCTAAGATTATTGGCCTTAAGGGACCGTTTCTCCACTACCAGGTCCATTGCATATGAATGGTTTGCAGAACACGGAAGACCTATTGGCATGCGAAGTGTTTACCGACGAATGAGAAGTTTTGGCTTGTTTTCATACCGGCCACACTGGGTCCTCCCTTTAACTCGAGAACACCGACGTAATCGCCTTGAGTGGTGCAGACAACGGTCTCTCTAGGATCAGGAATGGAACAGTATTGTCTTTAGTGACGAGTCTCGATTTTGTTTAGGCATGCACGATGGTCCTGCCAGGGTTAGAAGGCGACGTGGTGAAAGGAGGAATCCACAGTTTTTTGTTGAAAGACATGTTCATTACACTGTTGGAGTTATGGTTTGGGGTGCTATAGCTTATGGTTCCAGGTCACCTTTAATCTTTATCAGAGGTAACATGAACGCGCAGCGTTATATCCACGAAGTTCTAGAACCCCATCTTTTACCCTATCTTGACACCCTGGCAGATCCAACTTTCCAACAAGATAATGCCCGAACTCATGTTGCAAGAGTCACAATAGACTTCTTTCAACATAATGATGTCACATTGTTGCCATGGCCACCAAGATCTCCCGACTTATCCCCAATTGAGCACGTGTGGGATATGATGGGTAGGAGATTGCTCAATTTGCAACGTCCTCCTCAGACTCTAGAAGCACTTCGAGAGGCGTTGGTGGTTGCCTGGAATGAGATACCACAGGTGGACATTGACTACCTGATCAGAAGCATGCCTAGGCGCGTTGGAGAATGCGTAGCACAGCAGGGTGCATCCACACATTATTAAAGGTCAAAGGGCTTTAAAGCAGTGCAATCATTTTGAAATTTTTATCATTTACTTATTATGCTTCATTAAGTACTTGTACAAAATTGTGTTAAAATAAAACCATTTAAACTGGGTGTTCGGATTTATATGTCACTTAGTATATATTGCAAACTGTACACCTAATTCGAGATCTGTGAGTACAACCTGCATTTCTACATCGAGGAGCTGAAGGAACATCTAGTGCTTCCGGTAAGTGCAAAGCTCCATGTGTTCGCCGCTCTTGAGTAGGCACAGCTACTGTGCCTGGACGTCCTCTTGGCTTTTTTGAAGGTGGAGCCACGTACTGTACACACTGTACTTACACAGCTTGCACGCTCGTTTCGATTGACCGTGTTCACTTGTTGATGGTATGATTAAAACTGAACAAACTATCGATCCGGCAGAGTTCAAGTTACGCGTTACCGTTTTGAATACTAGACGGCAGCTTTTTGTTTATCAAAAAATATTCTGCTGGCAAATGCGCGTTTGTAAATCACATTTGATTTTTTTACACATACGTTATCACAAGGACCAACCAGGATATGCAACTAGTTACTTGTTGAGTTTCTCGTGTTTTTTCTTTTCGAGCAAAAAAAGATCAAAAAATTACATTTTGATTTCAACTATGGTCCAACCTATTTTTTTGGATCATAGTCATGCTTATGAATGGGTTATATCCAGTTAACCTGTGAAAGGGTATGGACCATAGTTGCAAACAAAATTCTTGTTTATAGACTTTATTACCATGTTTATACCTTTTATTATGACGAACTATTTTGTTTCAGAAAAGTACAAGATACCTCGTAGTACGGTAATACTGAAGCTAAAGGCTCATCGTAATAGCAACGTACATGTTACAGGTCGTAAGTGTTTTTTTCTGCAGAAGAAGAAAAATCATTCGTCGATAACGTTGTTCTACTGTGCGATTATGGATTTCCCCTAACTTTGTTTGATCCGAGGTGTGTTGTGACGACAGCCGTGGTACCACATTAAATGCATTCAAGAACAATTTCCCTGAAAGGCGTTGGGCCGATTGCTTTTTAAAGCGCCATAAAAAGGACTTTCTCAAAGATTCTGCAGCAATATCAAAAGAGTTCGTGCAGCGGTCAATGCAGAAATAATAAATAACTTCTTCGAGCATTTGGCAACTGAAATTAAAGATGTCCCCCCAGACTGTATCTATAATTATGGTGAAACAAACTTGGTCGATGACCCTAGAAAAAAGAGTTCCTTCAAAACGTGGGTGCAAATATTCAGAAGCTAATAAAAACTCGACCAAAGCAGTTGTAAGTCTTATGGTATGTGGAAATGCTGCTGGAGAAGTCTTGCCGCCCTATGTCAATTACAAAGCGGAAAAATGAGGGACATCTGGACAACAGGTGGTCCCCCAAATTCCCGATATAACCGTTCAAAATCTGGGTGTTTCTACCGACTTTAGAAAAGCAGAACCGAAGGAAAATTCTTATCGGAGACAACTTAAGTTCTCATATAAGTGTAAAGGTCCTAACGGCCTGCGAAGAGAATAATATCGCATTCATTCCTCTTCTTCCTAACTCAACACATCTTACACAGCCGTTGGAATGTTGCATTCTTCAGACCTTTCAAGTGTCATTGGAGGCAAATTTTGGATTCCTGGAAAGCTATACCAGACGGTCAGAGAATGCCAACCACACCAAAGGATGTGTTTCCCTATCTTTTGAATAAGCTAAAAAATTTAAAGACAGGTTTTTTGAGAACCGGCATGTTTCCCCTTTGTGCAACTAAAGTGTTAGACCAATTACCAGGTTATACTTGTCCTGCCGTCGACAAGAATACTCCCGTGCATGTTTCGGATGCCTTTAAACAATATATTGGAAATAAAAGAAAAACAGCCGCTGACGAAGCTGGAGAAAAAAAGAAAGAAACAACTTGATGTAGTAGCAGGAAAAAACATTTCTGCTGATGAAGTAAAGACCTTACTTTTGCTTAGTGGTAGTAGATAGCCCAATCAGAGACGAAGAGGAAATAGAGAATATGCTTTTACCTTCTGGAGAAGTCATCAAGAAAAAGAGACCGATAATACACAGTTCAAGCAGCGATGAAGAGGAAGTTAGTACTAAGTTTTCTTTGGCTTCTAGTTCTTCACGGAAGAAGAAAAATCTGAAAATACTACAGGCGCAAACATCATAAGCTTCGAGAGTTCTCTACCCGAAAAAGATGATTTTGTTTCAGTTGAGTACGATGGTGATTACTGGCCGGGCAGGTGGTTACAAGTAGAAAGTGAGGGAGCTTTTATAAAATGCATGGCAAAATGTGGAAAACTGTGGAGATGGCCAGAAAAGGAGGACTGCATATTTTATGCCAAAAACGAAATTAAGCTTTCCGTAAATGCTCCAAACCAAGTTTCAACAAAACGTCATCCTTTCAGTGTCCCTGCTCTGAGCTTGCTTAATTAGGCAGAACAGTTTTCGTTTTGTTTATTTTAATTTTTTAACTTACTTTTCACTTCGATAAGCTGTGCTACAAAAGCATAATTAGTATTAATCTTACATTTGTATTATTTTATTACCATAGGAGTTGCACCTATTGAGAGACTATTTTTATATAAATATGAAAAATAAATGAGTTTTGAAGTTTTTGTGAGTCAAATATTTTTTTTCAAGTATAATTTTCATTTCTTGACACTATTGTTAGGTAATATGCTTCCAACAATAGTTATCTATCGACTTATTGCAATAAAATCCTTATGGATCATAGATGTGTACAAAGTCCACAACTATGGTCCAACATTTAACAAAAGAATTGTTAAACAAACTATATTTTGAAAAAAAACAAAACATATCAACGAACTTCTTAAAACCTTTTAAGTCTTGCTACTCCATAAGAATGTAAGTCAGGTTGTAAGTATCACGTGTATTCCAAAAAATCACTAAAAATTGGACCATTCCTGTGTGAAATTAGGGTACTTTTATTGCGCATCTATATTGTATTTTTCCTGACACAGTTTACTTCATCTATCCACTCTTGTGATGAAAATTGACTTTTATTTGGATCAAAGCAACTCAAAGCAAATGTAAATGGTTCGCTTACCTCGGATTTTACTATGGTTGGTACTGTACGGAGAGTACTTACAGTAGATGTGTCTCCTTGGATGGACTAGGGGGGCTTTCAAAATAATGTCTGTTCAGCAACACCGATCACAATGAATCGCTGCCATTTTGTTCTTCACTTCCAGTTAACGCTACACTAGACCCAGCAACTCTCGCACTATTTTCAGTTTCCGGCATTTTTCAGCGAAAACTAAACTCTTTCAATAATTGTCCATCCACAACAGTGTTTTCTTTTTGTATTTATCGTCGGTAAAACCAATCCAAAATAAGAACAATGTCACAGTCTTTGGCACGCACGATATCACCCACTCCTGATGTTAGCTTGATGTCGAGATTAAACTAATTTTGACTACTTTTATTGCATACAAACAATTCAGATCGGATGACCGACCGCTGCAAAAACCAAAACAAAAACTGGTTCAGGCGTCCAATGTTTTCATCAACACCACTAATATAAGCGCGAGCAGACTGGATCCGATACATTTATCAGGTGAGACAAAATATTATACTAAGTGACATATAAATCCGAACACCCAGTTTAAATGGTTTTATTTTAATAAAATTTTGTATACGTACTTAATGAAGGATAATAAGTAAATGATAAAAATTTCAAAATGATTGCACTGCTTGAAAGCCCTTTGACCTTTAATAATGTGTGGATGCACCCTGATGTGCTACGCATTCTCCAACGCGCCTAGGCATGCTTTTGATCAGGTGGTCAATGTCCTCCTGTGGTATCTCATTCCAGGCAACCACCAACTCCTCTCGAAGTGCTTCTAGAGTCTGAGGAGGACGTTGCAAATTGAGCAATCTCCTACCCATCATATCCCACACGCGCTCAATTGGGGATAAGTCGGGAGATCTTGGTGGCCATGGTAACAATGTGACATCATTATGTTGAAAGAAGTCTATTGTGACTCTTGCAACATGTGGTCGGGCATTATCTTGTTGGAAAGCTGGATCTGCCAGGGTGTCAAGATAGGGTAAAAGATGGGGTTCTAGAACTTCGTGGATATAATGCTGCACGTTCATGTTACCTCTGATGAAGATTAAAGGTGACCTGGAAGCATAAGCTATAGCACCCCAAACCATAACTCCAACAGTGTGATGAACATGTCTTTCAACCCAAAACTGTGGATTCCTCCTTTCACCACGTCGCCTTCTAACCCTGGCACGACCATCGTGCATGGCCAAACAAAATCGAGACACGTCACTAAAGACAATACTGTTCCATTCCTGATCCCAGAGTGACCGTTGTCTGCATCACTCCTGGCGATTACGTCGGTGTTCTCGAGTTAAAGGGAGGACCCAGTGTGCCGGGTATGAAAACAAGCCAAAACATCTCATTCGTCGGTAAACACTTCGCACGCCAATAGGTCTTCCGTGATGTGCAAACCATTCATTTGCAATGGACCTGGTAGTGGAGAAACGGTCCCTTAAGGCCAATAATCTTAGGCGGCGATCTTCACGGTCTGTTGTTCTACGGCGGCGTCCAGTGCCCCTTGCTCTTTGCGTACGGCCTTCTCGAAGCCATGCCTGACAACACATAACCACAGTGTCTACACTTCTTTGCACTCTAACTGCAATTGCCCGAAAAGAAAGTCCAACTTCCCGAAGTCCTACTATACGGCCACTATCAAACTCACTAAGTTGACGAAATCGTACAGGTCTCCGTACTCTAGGCATCGTAACCGATCGTAAAGGATGTCAAGAACCAAAATCCGCCAACGTTGATTCTTTACTGCGGCTGAAATATTCATTTTTAGAGCGTTAGTGAATTAAAAAAAGCAGTATAAAAACCGGAATGTCCAACTGATAAGGCTGAAAATTTTTCACTTGTTATTTACAGTAAGATAAATACATTCACCAAATTTTATTAAAGTAAAACCATTTAAACTGGGTGTTCGGATTTATATGTCACTTAGTATAAATAATTACTGGACATTCCTAACATGCATAAGAGGTTGAACATATTTGCTCTCTGTGCAGCAAAACGACACGTATAGCTGAGATTATATGCTTGAAACACAGTCGTTTTAAATCTAATTGAGTCGTAAAAAAATCTCTAATTGAGGAAAAAATCAATCACCTTTCTCGCAACTTTTTGTTATTAATGAGGCGTTTCGAAAATTGATTATCATCGGGAATTAAGTTGGCGCTGGAATATTAAAGAGAAACGCGCCACGTTCAGAGGTCTTAATTTGATTACATTAAATTGACTAGCCGTGTGTTACAAATAACTTCTCTACTCCACTTAGGCGCTACATAACAAGATTTCACGTTTTCGCTTAGTCATTCCATCGGCAGATGTGCCCATATTTAATATGCCTATTCCAGCCAAAAAAAGTTAATGTTAGAAATAGGTATTATTTAATATGCATCCACTGAATATTGGAATATACTTGGTCACGTTAGGTGCTATACAGGGTGTTTCACAAGTCGTGACCAAAAATGAAACATCATATTCAGGAGCGCATTATAAGAGGGGTCTTCTACGTAAAATTTCCTCCTCCAGCGCTTCATTAAAAAGATACGGGGTGTTGAAGTTTAAAAATGAAAAGCATTTTTTATAATATATATATAAAACCCTCAACTGAAATGAACTAAAATTTGGTATTTGTTTTTAGCTAGGTACTGTCCACATTCAAATGTCTTAACCAAAAATAAACGTATACCAGTGACGGAGATCAGAAGCATTATTTCTTCCAAATAAAAAATACTACGTGTTTTTTCCTAGACTGCATTGTATTTGTAAAAATAAAATAAAGACAAACTAGATAAACAAATATTTATTTCAATACATGTTGAAAAAGACCAACATTCTGAACCAGTGATATACTTCAGTTGTCTGCATTTTGAAGCAGAAAAATGCATATACAATGTATACAACGGTATAGAAAATATACAGGGTGGCGCATCGAAAACGAAACAGACGCATTTACTGGCAGCTCATTTTTTTTTTGGGAAAACGCTCAGACCCGTCGATTTTGTCGATTTGAGGGGGACACAAGCTTGGGAAAAAATCACGTTAACACGTGCAGCTCCCTGGGCGGGGGGTGACGGCAACCCTAAAATCTTAATGGAAAGGGGGGTCAAGTGATACCTTATTTTAAAGATATTTCAATTCCCTTTGTAATGATGTAAAATACATGAGCTTCAATTCACTAGCTTTGAAGATTTGTTGATTTAAAGCTTAAAGTAGACTTTAATAGGTACATCAGATTAGTTTGTACTACTTTCAGAAGAAATTTGACTAAAAGAATTTACTTAATAAGTACGCCCATGATTTGTTTATCATTTTGCTGTTGAAAATAGCTATTGGAGGGTTTTTTGTGGCCAAAAAGTTATTTCTCGAAGAAAGATAAGGAAATATCTCGTACTTATTTTAAATAGGAATTTAGTACATAGTTTGCGATTGATTTGACCAACCTTTGTTCCTAAAATAACTTGTAACGCTTTATTACATAAATTAACCATGGTATATTCCACAGCAGAAAGAGTTGAAATTATCGAAATATTTTTCGGCAATAATCAGTGCGCTAATAGAACAGCAGAAATATTTAATGAGCGACATGAGAACAGTAAGGTGCATCGAAAATATGTTCTAGAACTTGTAGCTAACTTTAGGGAAACTGGGTCAGTCGCCAATACAAAACGCAACATTGAAAATCCCATAAGGAACGAAGCAATAGCAGTGGGGGTTTAAGGCAAGTTTATTTAGATCCTACGTTAAGTATCCGCAAATTGGAGACTGCGTGTGGTGTTAGTCGTCGTCGTGTCCAACAGATTCTAAAGGCCCGTAGTTTTCATCCGTATAAAATTCACCTGGTACAAGAATTTACTGAAGACGATTTTGATCGGCGATTAAAATTTTGTGAAGATATGAGTGAACGAATTATAAACGATGAACATTTTCTATTCAACACTTGCTTTTCGGACGAATGTTCCTTTATCTTAAATGGCGTAGTAAATCGTCGTAACTGTCAATATTGGTCCGATTCTAATCACAGAATTTATCATAAGGTTCATACACAGCAGCCATGCACCAATGTTTGGGCTGGTATTTTTGGCGGTCATTTAGTTGGTCCTTTTTTCTTACCTGGAAATTTGACCGGCGAAATGTATTCGGAATTACTGGAAGACACCATAGATCCTGCATTAACAGCCATAATTGAAAATCAGAATGATGGGCGGTACATTGCAAATAGGTTGACGTTCCAACAGGATGGTGCCCCACCACATTACGCATTACGTGTTCCACAATATTTAGATCAGACGCTTCCAGATCGATGGATTGGTAGAAGAGGTGCCACTGAATGGCCCCCAAGATCGCCAGATTTATCACC